TTCTCCAAGCACAGTTCAAAGTTGTTTCTTTCAGGAAGTCTTTCCTGGCTTACTCTTTCCATGTGATTGCTTCTTTTTATTGTAGTCACTGTTTAGAATGTTTGTTGGATGGATTTGTATATTGTCATGTTTTTAAGTCAGTGTGTGAGTGCATGTTGTGCAGAATGATAACTTCCTGGCTGCTTCTTGGCTCCCAGGGATTATTCATATAACGCACACACCCACCCACACATGCTATCTTTGTGTGTGTCTTTTGCATTTTGTGTCTATATCTGTGCATAAATGCAAATATAGCTGTCTATACTGAATATTTACTAATGTTTTATATACAATAATTTACTATGTGCCAAACACTGAACTAAGTGCCTTACAATACAATGAAGTAGGCCCTAGTATTATCAACCACATTTTACATATAAGAAAACTGGTGTGCAGAGAGAAGCAATTTGCTCAGCATCACATGGCTGAGCACAACCTCACACAGTGAGGCTAGGCTTTGACCTTGACAGACTGATCTAGCTCTTGACCATGACACTAACCTCTGAAAGCTACTCAGATGCCTCCTGTGCCTCAGGAAGGACCTTGTCTTTAACTCAAACGGTTAACCCATTTATTGCTGGCACAAGGCAGGTGCACAGGGCAGGGAACAGAGGTGAGGATGGTGGTGATAAAGAAAATGACGGAAACTAAGTCCTGTCTTACCTGCCCCCAAGACACTGATCGCCACTAGCAAGATGGGGTCCAGATGCTGAAGGGACGCTGACATGGCAGCCCTGGGTCGGTGGCTTCTCCTTGGGCTGCTGCTTTGTGTGTGGGAAGAGCTGCCCAACCCACTCTTGGCCCTGAGCCCCCTGAGCCATCTTCACACACCAGATGAACTTTGGGAAGGTCAGAGTTTTTCAGTCGCAGACCCAAGTGAAGCGGAGCAAAACAGATCCCATGTGCTTGACACGTGGAAAGTCTCAGAGCCAATGGTTTGCAAACTTGCCAAGGGCTGGGGGAGTGAACATATCCCGGAGAACCGTGGAGCCGTTCTCTGGCAGCCGTGCACAGGAAGAGATAGCACAGCTTTCCCAGCCACTTGCCTGAAGATAGACTTTAGTTTTAGAACCCATAGGCTTGCTCAGATCTAATCATAATGTGCTCGATACGTAATTAGCTTGGTACAGAATTAACTCAGAACTCATTTGTGTACTAAGTGCACAACATATTTCGTACAGTACCCAGCACATTAACAAGCTCTTACAAATGCTAAGGGTCACTACTAACATTGCTTGTCACAGAATGAACCTATGATATGTTGATAAAACTGTTCATGAACTTCCTTGTCTTGTGGAAAGCTGTTCCAGCACACCCTAACATCCTTTCAGGGTTTCTCAGCCAATCTACTTTTCAAAACTAAGATTTATTACATACTTAAGTGCTAGGCACTTAAGTATATTTATGTGTATTATCTCATTTAATGATCTCTAAGCCCTCTGATAAAAGTATTATCATTATCCCCTCTTCCCAGATGAAGAAATTGTCAGAGAGTTTCTATAGGTCCATTGTCAGAGATGTTAAGCAAGTTGCTTATGGTCACACAGCCTTAGCAGAAGTGCCTTGCTAGTCTGACTCCAAAACCCATGCTCTTAACCACTGCGCCAGAACTTTTAGAATTCAGCTGACCCCAGATTGAGGCAGAATCACTGATATTTTATGATGTCCACTGACCAGAGGGTTTCCCTTACCCTATATATGCAAATGCCGATGAATGAATGTTTAGTGAACACCACCCTACTTGCTTCTCTCCTACAATCAATGCAGGCCTTGTTAAATTAGGAATAAAGTACTCCACCTTACCCTTGCATAGCACTTGACCGTTTGCTTTCAAATACATGGTTTTGCTTCATGCTCTCAACTCTGGGATACAGGAGTGATTATTTTCACTTCCCAGCTGCAAGAACTGAGCTCAAGGAGGATCTGTGGCTTGCCAGAGGTTCACAGGTAGAAATAGGGGAGCTGGGGCCAGAGTTTGTACCATGACTCCAGACTGCTTCTTCGGCACCAGGGTGGGCTGATGCCCCGACTCTGAGCACCCCTGGCCTCCCAGCTCCAGTCAGGCCTGTGGAAGAAAGACTGAGGTCAGGGCCGAACCCAGGCCCCTGGGTTCTCAAGGGCTCACACTTCCATACAGTGCTGCTTCTCTCACTTAACCGTCTCTTTTCCAAGGGGAAAAGGACGGCCCACACAGGACAGATCCTGACCTGTTGTTCTCTGTGCCAGGTCTGGGCGGATCTTCCTCCTACAGTGAAGATGGTGCTGAGGAGAAAATGGCAAGAATTTGAGGAAAAGCAGGCCTGTGTTTCGCTGGAATGAAAATAATTGTTTGGTTGTTGCTGAAAATCTGTCCCCCCTGGGAAGCTTGCTGTTAGCAGGGAGTTAGTGGGGGAAGCAGGGAGTCAGACAGACTCGGGACATGAAGTCAGGCGCCCTACTGTCTTCCAGAACCTGCCTTCAGCCTGAGCCTGGCTAGGAGAGCTGGGCTGTGTCAGGCGGAGGGCGAGCCGGGGTGGGCAGTAGTTTCTTGGGCGTGCTGGAGCGATGCTTTCCAGTAAAGGAAGTTCCGAGGGAAGGGGAATATTCTCTCGCCCTCTGGGCTTTGGGGGAACCCGAGTGGAAAAATCTCAGTGAGTCACATGAAGGAAAATTTGCGGGATGTGCAGCTGCCGAGCCTCAGCAGACTGGGCGGTTTGGAGCTGTCTTCTCCACGTGTTCAAGCAACGGGGGCCCTGGCGACCCGGGCCTTCCTCTGGGGGCAGCCGGGGTGGGTCTGAAATCCAGAGCTCACCCCCCACCCCACCCCGCCCCGGTGTGTGGGAGCAGAGCCCAAGCTGCGGAAACCACCAGGCGCGGGGTTGTTTTTGGACGGCTTCGACGCTGTTCGGCCAAACTGACATCCTCTCGTCTTGTGTGAAAACATTGGCTCCCACGCTGGATCTCCTGAGTCCTAGGCCTAGAGGAGATTTTGCCTTTGGGAAGGTAGTGGTGTGTTCCTGGGGTGAGAAGGGGGGAGGTCAGGGTTCTTCTTCTTCCGAGACAGGCAGGAGAGCAGCCCACATGGAAGTGAGATGCCTCAGCCTCTGCCCTTCCTCAGAGGGTCTTCCCTCTAAGGCGGTCCGGGGGAGCCAGAGACCCTTCTCAGGTGTCCCAAGTGCCTTGTGGTGTTGGGAGCAGCTCTCCAGGACCCTCTGCTGGTGCATCTGCTCACAGGCCAAGTCTTCCCGTCTGGAAGCTTCCCGAGTGCCTCCTTCTCCACTCTTCTCTTCCCACATCCAGGACCCCAGCCCCACCCAGCTCTGAAGGAGCCCCCAGGAACTTTTGTCAGGGGCTGAGGGGGGACTAGGATGACTGAGACCACTGGCATTGGCACCCAGTCCAAAGTCACAGACATAGGTCAGTCGAAGGCTCCCTGCCCGAGGCTTCTATCTCGCCGTGTGTCTCAGCACAGAATGTTCTGGTTGATGTTTCTTGAACATAAATCTTTATTCCAATTGCAGTAACTTTGGTAGAAAAAGCAGGGCACATTTCTTCATGCTTTTACCCTAATCAAACGGCTCTCACGCCAAAGCTCCCGACGTTTCTCATTTGCCCTATTTGGATTAGGGTGGGGGTGGGGCAGGACAGTGAGCTTTACGGAGGGAATGAATAAGCCCATTCGCTTTTTTTCTCAGATGGACAATTTGGGCCTGTTCTCTTGAAAGCCAAAGTAGGCATTTCATCCTGGGGGGTGGGAGGGTGGAGGGGATAGATGGAAGCGCTCTGTCTGGGGGGAAATACTGTGGCTTCAGGGAACATAGAAAATAAAAGTCGAAGGAAAGGCAGCAGAGTGAGGATGGGTGGAGGCCTGCTCCAGGCTGAACCCTGGCATCCGTCTGTCACCTTCTCCTCTCTCAAATTTGCTCCGGATACAGGCAGTGTTGATGCTCCCACCCAAAAAGCCCCATGAAACCACCCAGGATGCTGATAGAGGTGAGAGGACACATCTCCCTCCTCCTCCTTCTCCTTGTCCTCTCCTCCCCTTCCTCACACTCCCTCTGTCCCCTCCCGGCTTGGCTCACCTCTCCCCTCATCTCCTGGTTTATTTATATGAGTTCTAACTCCATGCATCTCTGTCTTTTCTTTCTCCCGTCTTTTTTTTGACCCCTGGTCCCATGCCCCCAGCCACCTTTGGTCACCTGTGGATAGCATCCAGTTAAGAACAAAAAGGTTTTCATACATTCTTTCCTGACAGGTCTCTGGCTTCTCTGGCTGTGGGCCGATATTGGGGCCACTGGAAGTCGCTGCTGCTGCTGCTAGTGGGTGACAAGGGTTTCGGAGGCCCTATTGTTTTCTTGGGGTAATGAAGTCTTTCTGCAGGAAGCCGCTGAGGGATAAACTGAGGAGTAGCCACTAGGACTAAGGCAATCTTAACGTGAAATCAGATCTACCGTGACAGACCTCATGAGATTATTTTGTTACAGCCCTTCCAGGCAGCAGATATAAAAATAAGCAGCCTCACGGGTCTCTGGCGCAAACCTCCTCCTCTCTCATACAGTAAGTTCCCCCAGGACGAGCCTGGGCCTCTCTGAGGCTGGGGGCAGCCCTGTGCCCAGGGTGATCTATGTTCTGATGAGGCTCCCTAAATCTCCCCATAGGAAGCAATCAAGGCTCATGCATCTGGGCCATGGCCCAGGTAATCCAGGGATTAGGTAGTTTGGGCTCTGGAACGTACAACAAAGTTGCAATCCAGCCGACTCCCCTTCCTAATCACGCCCGGTTCAGGTTCATATCTGAAACCAGTTGGCCTTCCCGAAGTTTCAGTGCGGGCAGGGGTGGAGGTGGGGAGGGCAGGATGGGACACAGGTAGGCCTTCGAGGGAGCCCGGGGGTGCTGTGGCTAATTCGATCTGCAGCCTCCAAAAACTCGCATCTGACAGATGATCTTACGGAGAAAAGCGACTCGAGCGCCGGCACACGGGATGCTTCCAAAAGATTTAATAAATAACGACTTTTTAAAACTGTATAAACTATAAATTACCATGCAGTCCTTATAATTTAAAATAATTTACAGGCTGAGGTAGGGAGGGGCCCAGGAGAGTGTGGAGGGGCAGGGGGGGGCGGGGGCGCCTCGGCAGGGCAGGCTCTCCTCACCGGCTTCCTGCTGAGCACACACACGCAGGCCGTGTCGATCCGAATGAACCTCCAGGCGGCCTGCTTGCCATCCATGGTGAGCGCCTTGACGAAGGTGTGCGTCGTGGTGCAATACGAGTTCCAGTGCTTGGCGTCAATGCCCCGGCACCCGCTGTCCACGGGGTTGGGGTCTCGGCACTTGGTCTCAAAAAAGTACTGCTTGAACACACTGTTGTTAATGTTCACCTCTCCCAACACCATCACCTCCTTGCCCTTGATGTCCGTGGCGGTGGTCTTGTCGCCCACCCACACGCTGACGCTGTCGCACACCGAGAACTCCCCCCTGTGGAAGACAGGGTGGGACGGCGACCGCTTGCTCCTGTGAGTCCTGTTGAAGGGGACGGCGCCCGTGACCTCGAAGTCCAGATCCTGCGTGTCTGCGGCTTCGGGTGGGGGCTGGGTGCTAAACAGCACTCGGGGGGAGCGTAGCCGCCGTTTCTTAAACAGCTTGGGGTCCACAGTGACGTTGCGGGTCTGCCCTGCCACCCGGGCAGCTATCGCCCCCGCAGGGGCGCGGCGGGCTCGGCGGAGGGCTGTGTCGAGGGAGTGCTGCAGTTTAGTCCAGTGGGCTTGAGGGATGGCGTGTCCTGCTGGGACATTGCTCTCTGAGTACGGTTCTGCCTGTACTCCGATCAGAAACGCTGTGATCAGAGTGTAGAACAACATGGACATTACGCTACGCACCTGGAATGAGAAAAGAAAGATGAGAATTACTCCACGCGGTATGAAGTGTTGTCAAAGGTGGCTTCGGAGGCCCTCGGAGTTGACCTCCCGAGAGGATCCCAAGGTGGTTTCCCCGGTAGGCCTGGGTAAGAAGACCCTGGCATTTGTCAGGCAAACTGGAATACTTCTGCGAGTGAAAGGGTGTGCTAGCAATGATTACACTGGGACAACAGGCATAAGCCAGGGCTGACTCGGGCATCTGGGTGTATGATGACCCCATCTATAAGGCGGGCTTTTCCAGAATGGGACAGAGGCTCTGAAATTCTGCCCACTAGCTTGGTATGAACTTGGGTGCATCACCTACAGAATCCTTTGAGTTCTCTGACTGTCCGCTTGAGGCAGCTGAGGGAGGTGAAGTGGGTATATATGTACCAAGTTGACAGGTGAGATGAGTTTGACACTTCTCCCCAACATTTATGCCATGGTGGTGGAGCTGGCTCTGCTCAATAGCTTTGAATCCCTTGGGAAGGCACTGGGAAGAGCTGCTGGGGACATCTCGAAGCCTGAGCCCTGAGTACCTCACTTTAGACAGCAGATCTGGTGACTTGGAACCCTTGCTATGAATTCACAAAGCATCACGTTTAGAAAAATCTTGTGACTGGGACCACTTTGGCCCATGCACCTATTCAGCCACCATTCCACACACGTGATATGGATCATGGTTCCTCTTTGCATGACGTTTTTCCAAATGTATCACTTCTATCTTCTCATTAGTCTGTGAGTTAGTTTAAGATGTATCATCTTTCATTCACATACAGGGAAACCGATTCACAAATAATTAACGAACACGAAAACATTGGAAACTGGAATGAACCAGAAATAGAATTCAAAACTGACCCCTTACTAAGCCAGCCTGCCCTTCCATCCATCCTTCCCCCTCCCTCCCTTTTGCCTTTATTCTTGAAGATGTCTTTTCTTTTTATTATTTGTTGCTATGCGAGTATAGACCAGATGAGATGAATCAGTCTCCAAGAGGGCTCCATACTGCATTGCGGTTACCCCGCAAATGAGCCCCCACTCCCTTGGACAAATAATTATGGGATTAGTTCTCCTCCTAGAGGGCCTTTCACCTGCTTCTGTTGAGCTCCTATGCACACCTATAGATGTGCAGGAAATGTCACCTCCTCTGTGAAGCTTCCTGGATCTTCTTGATAGGATTAGAGGCAATTCCTATAAAGAGTGTTCTCCAAACTTCCAATATCTATCCATTCTCCCATCTCTCCTTCCCACTCTAACAGGTCATTCTGCTGCCTACCCACTTTTCCAGCATGGCACAGATGCCCACCTACTCCTTGAAGCCTTCTCAGATCGTTTCAATCAAGAGTGATCTCTTTCTGTTCTGAAGAACATCAGTGCACGTGTGTGTGTGTGTGTGTGTGTGCACATGTGTGTGTGTGTGTGTGTATGTGTGTGTGTGTTCTCTCCTACTAAATCAGTGTAATGAGAAGAATTCTGTGTTGGATCCAGGGCTAGAAAACCTAGTTTGGGTGCCCACTCAACTACCTGTTACCAGAAGAAAGCCACATAATTTCTCCCAGCCTTAGTTTTCTTGCTGATAAATGGTGAGCAATAAACACCAGTTTCCAGAGTTGTTGTAGGATAAGGAAGGTGTGTTAATTATGAGTTATTTCTGTCTCCATATGGCCAAGGACTTTTTCCTTTTCAGTTCTACTGCTGGTTTTGCCTCTCACAGACTTCTTTCAAAGCCATTTTTGTTGTTCTCTTTCGAGGGCAGAGTTGTGTCTCCTCCACCTGGGTCTCTGGTTACTCCATCCCTTGCCTTCCAGGGCAGTTTGTGCATAACCCTATGACTTCTCCTAAACCATCTATGTGTCTGTCTCCCTGAGAGTGCTTTAGAAGCTGCCCAACTTGGATTTCAATATTTCCAGGGCCATGTGCAGTGTCTGGCATGTAGCAGGTACTCAAAAAATATAAGAATGAATGAAAGAATGAAAGACAGAGGCCAGAGAAAAGCTTGCCATCTGCCTTCTTTCCAACACAGTGCATGGTTTCTTTTGGCCTTTGTACATATGGCTACACGCTGCTTTTCTAACCTGCTTTAAAGCAGCGCATTCTTCTTTTCCGTACTGTGCTTTTTATTCAGCTGGAAATAGAAAGCCCTTTGGTGAGATACCAAGAAGGAAACCACCAAATTCTTTTCTCTTTGGTTACATTGAAGAATGTTTCTGTTTGCTCCAATTCTCCAGTCAAGCATGCAGAAGAGGCTGTGACCATCACCAGATCTGTTGGCGAACGGTCTTGCAGATCAATGTCCAGTCACTCTAACAGAACTGAATATTCAGTTGGCAGTGGATTCAAGCCTTTTATTTCGCTCCTTTTCATGTTTCATTTCTTCCTTCTTTTCATTACAAAATCTCTCTCATCAGTTAGATTAAAGGAGAAGAAATAAAGCTAAAATGTATTCCTTTATGCCCAAATTAGTAACACGTGTTACTAACTGGGATCGGAAAATGAAGATAATTGACTAAAACTTAGGGTTTCAATGGAGAGAAGGGACATACCACTCCCTATCCTCCACTACCTGAGGTTTACACCGCATTCTGCAGTCTCTCCTTTGTTGGGTTCCTCCTCTGCCAGGGAACCCATTGAAATTTTTGTGCACTTTCTCTAGCCCAACTGCTCTTTTGAAGCCCGTTCTGAACCTCCAACTCCTGAGGGCAACTCTCCATGGCTATAGACAATTTTTTTTTTTTTTCGAGTTGGAGTCTCACTCTGTCGCCCAGACTGGAGTGCAGCGGCCGCGCCCGGCCACCGCAGCCTGGACCTGCTGGGCTCCGGCGAGCCTTCCGCCTCAGCCTTCCAAGTAGCCGGCACCACAGGCGCATGCTACCACGCCCAGCTGATTTTTGATTTATTGTAGAGACGAGGTCTCACCAAGTTGCCCAGGTGGGTCTTGAACCTGCAGCCTCAGGCAATCCACTCACCTCGGCCTCCCAAAGTGCTGGGATTACAGGCTGAGCCACCAAGCCCAGCGGCTATAGACATTTTAAAGGCAAGACATCAAACACGAAGGTCTCCATAATCATCATCCTCTCTCTGCTGCTTACTTTGTCTTGAATGGTAGCAGCCACACTTTGGAACACAGCTACTCTCTTTTGATCTTTTCTTCCAAGCCTCCTAAACAAGCTTCTCCGTCGTTGCCTTATTTTCTGTTCCTGGAACCATTATTCCTTCACCCACCAAACTTCTGCTCATCCCCAGACTCTGCTCTTTCCGCCCTGCCCTCCAGCCAGTCCTTTGAGTTCCGCTTCGGTCCCCCTCCTTGAAACTGTATTTTCCTTCCCATTCTCACCTCTGGGGTGAGGACAGTTTCCCATCTGAAACTGTCTCTGGGACCCTCATCTCTCTTCCTCCAATGCCTCCTGTCCCTAGCCACCTGCCCATTTAGCTTTTCTTCTTCTTCCCTTTCTTCTTCTCCTTCTTCTCTTTCTCTTTTGGGAGGGCTTGTGTTTAGCGATGTCTCACTATGTTGTCCAGGCTGGTCTCGAACTCCTGGCCTCCAGCGATCTTCCTGCCTTGACCTCCCAAACTGCTGAGATTTCAGGCATTAGCTGCCGCACCTGGCCCATGTAGCTTCCCTGATCACACCACCCTGCTTGAAGGAGCCAGTGCTAAGCCGCTTGACTAGGGAGCCGGTGACCCATGGGACCCTGCCTCCTTCTGCTCCCCTCACAGAGTCTGCGTTCCAGGCACACAGAACTCCTGGGGGCAGGTCCTGCTCTGGGCTTCCCTGGCATTGCCGTCCTTCGATTCTTCCCTGCCAGGCATGCTCCCTGACTTCCCAGTGTCTTTTCTGCTCTCCACCTCTGCTGGGGGAGTCCTTCCTGCTGTCCTTCAACATTCCAATGCCATGTCCCCTGGGAGCTTTTTCTAATTCCAATGAGATAAACGATCCCCCTTCTCCATCTCCTAAAGCCTTTCCTTTCTACTCTTTCATGGCAATTGCATTCTCCCCTTATCCTTCCTTCGAGAAGGCAGACTCCTTGCAGACGGCAAGGTGTCCTGCTCATCTGTGTTGCCTCTCCAGGACCCCGGGCACCCTCACCTCTAAGAATCAGGAAGTGTGCAGACGAGCCTCTGGCCTTCTGTGTTCCTTAATTTCTCCACCCGGGCAATGACGCTGAAGGTATCTTCCAACTCTGACACTCTTTTATTTCAAGCAATTATAACCAAGAGTCTGCTCGTTCGGCTGAATGGATTCACCAAGTTCTTAAAATCGAATGCCACTTCTCAACTCACTGTCAAGATACCAAGCGGTGCTGGGTGGCATTCAGTCACAATGGTGACTGGCATCGTGAACAGACGGTTTGATGAAGACTTGAACATGTCTCAAATATATTTCTTATTTGGGTTTTAGATGAAAAGTTCTTGTTTTTGGTTTTTTTTTTAAAGTTAGTTTACTCGTGATAGCATGTGCCTATAAGCTTTACAAGAAACTCTTTAAAAGTCTCTCTTAAACCATTGTCAGTAGATAAAAGAAAGAAAAAAAAAAACCGAGTGTGTTTCTATTCTGGTGACATAATGCACAGTTTAGAAAAGAAAATTCTCGAAAGGGGAAAAAAAATGTCTCTTTTTGGCTGATGTGAACCAGGGGAGGAGTTTTATTTATTTATTTATTTAAAAACCACCCTTGGGGGCCTTTCTCCTGAATGGGTGACCGCCCTCTGTGTGCTTCACCAAGCGGAGCTCTGCCAGCAGAATGATCAGCTGGAGAGGATGGCCCACGTGAAAGACCATGTTCTGTTTAATGTGCAGATGCTTGTTATTTGTCCTGCTCCTACCCGGAATGGGAGACACACGACTACGGGCAGGGAGGCCGGTCGGATGCCTTCGCAACCCGCTACTGATGGGCTGCCAGTCCTCTTGCCCTCTCCGGGGCCAGCTGCACCCTCTGTGGATTTCCAGTGGTTCACACCAGTCATCGGAGTAATTTCCTGCACAGGTGAACGAGTTTCACCGATTCTGGTCTCACCTGAATGGGTGATGAACTCCAGGACCAGGCTAAGCAAGCGGCCCAAATAGTTGTGACTAGGAGGGCAGATATGGCACTGGGAGACTTGGCATCCCTGCCTGGGGAGGTGTGTTGCAGGAGGGAGTAAGAGAACTCCTGCCTTATAGAGAGACGTGTCAGGAGCAGACAGTGATTCTCGGGCTAGAGACTGGATCATCGTGCCCGGGTCACTAACTGTTGGCAAGAGATGAAATTCTCGTGGCCGAGGGAACTCAGCCTCCTCCTCCATCTCGCTCACCACATTCTAAGAGTGGGTCAAGGGTCATTTCTTGTTTCACCCTTGGCCTTCGCTCTACATGTGAACTGGCTGCGGTCTTCAGTTGTAAAGATTCAGTTGCCCTTCGTTGTTGGAGCCTGTGTGGGGCGTGAGAGGAATTCTGTGGCTTCTCAATACCCCAGTAAGGTAACCCAGAGAAGTCCTGGGCTGAACAGAGAAAGGCGTTGACAGAATAAAAAACCCAAAGCCTCTGATGGTATCTCCCAGGCAGGATTTATTGGGAGGTGGCATGGCCTACAGGGGACATCAGAGATGAAATGCCAGAGGCTCTCAAACTTCAGGGCATCAGGATCACCTGGAAAGTCAGCTAAACAGTGGTCCCCAAACCTTTCGGCATCAGGGACCAGTTTTGCAGAAGACAACCTTTCCATGGATGTGGGGGAGAAGAGGAGGAGTGGACGAGGAGGGAGGAGTCTCATGAAGAATGGGCAGCCTAGACCCCCCCACCCCTGTACATGGTTCACAATAGGGCTCAAATGCCAAGAGCATCTAATGCCCCTGCAGATCTGACAGAAGAAGCCTTCCTCTCCCATTGCTCATTTCCTGCTGTGTGGCCTGGCTCCTTACAGGCCACAGACCAATACCAGTCCATGGCCCAAGGGTTGGGGACCCCATGTTAAACTATAGACCATGGGGGCCCACCTCCAGAATCTCTGATTCTGTAGGTGTGGGAGGAGGGGCATTGAGAATCTACATTTTTAACAAGTTGTTCCCAGACACGGAGGCGGCTGGTCTGGAGACCACGTTTTGAAAATCACGAATCTAGCCCAATTCTTTAACTTTGGAGAGAACAGAAATGAGCCTTGGAGAGGCCAAGTAGCCTGAGGTTATGCAGCTAGGGCGTGGAAGGGTCAGCCTGTGGTTGCCTGACCTGATTTCAGCCTCCGCACCCTTTAGAGGAGAGAGGTCCCAGGCCACACAAACGCTGTCATTGATAGGTCCTGGGATGTGCCGAATCATTTCCCAACAACAAAATAAAAATGCCATTCTAACAACTTAGAAGTTTTACCTTCCCGATAACACAAATCCAAATATTGGGGAACATTTAGGTATTTAGTTGTTTTCTGTCCAAGCACCTGTAACCCCAGCTCTTTGGGAGGCCAAGGCAAGAGGATTGCCTGAGCCCAGTCTAGGCACCATGGCGAGACCCCGTCTCTATCATAAAATAAAAAAATTATCTGGGCATGGTGGCGTGTGCCTGTAGTCCCAGTTACTTGGAAGGCTGAAGCAGAAGGATTGCCTGAGCCCAGCAGGTCAAGGCTACGGTGGCTGTGATTGTACCACTGCACTCCAGCCTGGGCAACAGAGTAAGATTGACTCAAAAAGAAAAAAAAGAGTTGTTTTCATATATGGTTGATCAGATTTCTGTGTATCATGTAGGCTTGATCCAAAAGAGTTTAAAATGCCCATAAATAGAAATTTGCAGCCAGAAAGCACTGGGAGGTACAGGTACCTGGGAAGTCATTGGGTTCCCCCAGGACAGGTGTGCTGGCTGCATGAATGGGAAGCAAAGCAACTGGTCTGAATGCTTAAAATGAATGAGTTGAGATATAATTATTGTCATTGTTATGTGTTGGGCATCACTGTCTGATTAACCATCACAACGAACCTGGGAGGTCAGCCATATTATTCCCATTTTACAGATGAGGAAATAGAGACGCAATCAAATTAAGTAACTTGATCACAGGCACACGCTGGGTGGAAGCGGAACTCAGAGCCAGGCCTCCTGTGTCCAGACCTGGAACTCTTCCCCCTCCCTCCTCTCTGTTGGCCATGGGCATACAGAGTGATTGTGAACCTTCCATCTCGCAAGGAGCCAGTCAGACCAGAGAGCTGGGTAAAGAGTCGGACTGATACTGTCTTTTCCAGGCCCTGTGTTCTGCTACTTTAGACTTGATACAGCAGAGACTTTTGGTATAACCCTAGAAGCCATGGGGCCGGCCAGAGGGCACAAGAGACTTCCTTTTGGGGGTCAGGAGGGACCAGGAGAGCCACATTTGTTGCATCACTTAGAGCTACTCCAGGTCTCTGCCACTCAGCAGTTGGCTTTAACCCCCACCCCCAGCCCAGGGCTCCCTTCCAGTTGTCTAATAACATGGGACCCCGGCTTCCGGCAGCTCCAGAGGTAGGACCTTAGTGAGGCAGATGCCCCTCAGGTGCTTACCTCAGTGTGGCCAGGACAGAAAGCAGCTGCCTCGGAAAAGCTGTTATCGGGTCCGGACGCTGAGCTGAGCTTGGGTCCAGCATGCCATCCAGCCCCCTGGACTGCACGACCACGGGTCAAAACTCTGTGGAGGGGGAGAGCTGGCATTAGAAGGTACTTCACCACACTTCCTGTGCCCCTGGCAGTGGGGAGGGATGAGTCAATGGAAAAAATTCTATTTCCCTGAGCTTTGGAATTTTACCAGCATCAGGACCTAGGAAGGGGCAAGGGTATAGCGACCGAAATTGCCAGGGTCCATCCTTACAAGGACCTGCAGTGGCATCTGTCTCTCACTCTTGTGCCAAAACTCTTGACTTCAACCTGGACACAAGTCCATGGCTGATCTTATACCTGGAGTCGATGCTCCCAGACCCACACCAAAGTCCTGTTCCAGCAGATCTCTAATCTAGCAACAAAATAAAAATTATTCTGCATACCACATACGCAGATGGTATAGTAGACCCAACTCAGAATCAGTTTTGCTTAGATAAATTATACAGAAACAAAAGTCCTGACAATTAGAGCAAGTTGGAGCTTTGACTAAAATGCAGGTGAGTAATGGTGACAAATAATACAACCTGACCACTGGACAGATAACCTGGAGCTCTTACAGAACTAGGACATAGAGCACCATGATGAAAGTCAGATTTTAGGACTGGAAGCTATTGAGCTGATACAATGAGAAACAAAATGAGAAAGTATAATGAGAAAAAAAATTCAATTTTATGTTTTTTTTTTTTTTTAGGGTTGTCGTTTCTAGAAGCAATGGAAGGCTTCCATTTTGGTCTCACTTCTACAACCTGATCTATGTAGGTGCTTCATTCATTCAACAATATTTCCTGAGTACCTACCATGTGCCAAGCACTGTCTTTGGTGACACAGCAGTGAACAAGACAACCAAGGTCTCTACTCTCATGAAGACTGCAGTCTTGCATAGATAAACAAGCTATCTTCAGGTTATTATGATTTTTTTTGAGTTGGGGTCTTGCTCTGTTGTCCAGGTTGGAGTGCAGTGGCATGATCATGGCTCAACGCAGCCTCAGCCTCCTGGGCTAAAGCGATCCTTCCACCTCAGCCTCCCAAGTCGCTGGGATTCAAGGCGTGTGCCACCACACTCGGTTAATTCTTAAACTTTTTGTAGAGACGGGCTCTTGCTATGTTGCCTAGACCCGTCTCAAACGCCCAGGCTCAAACAATCCTCCTGCCTAGGCCTCCCACAGTGCTGGGATTATAGGCATGGGCCACCATGCCCGGCCATCTTCAGATTCTTTGTATACCATGAAGGAAATAACGGGGTCTGATGACAGAGGGTGACTGCAGAGCCCATCAAGGGGCCACTTAGACAGAGTCCTCAGTAAGGAGTTCTCTGCGGAAGTGACCTTCAAACTGAGATCAGATGAATAAGGGGGAATGGGCAGAGAATATTCCAGGCAGAAGGAACGAAGGCAGAGGCCCTGGGGTAGAAACAAGCCAAAGTGCTGAGTGTGAAGGGAAGAGGTCCAGGAAATGAGACGGAGAGCCAGAAAGAGCCAGGTCTGTGGAGACAGAGCAAGTGGCCACGGTGTTGCCCTCAGGCAGTGGGAAGGGGGGGGAAGGCTTTGAGCAAGACATAGCATGTTTATGAATGAAGGGATGAGCTATTATGTCTATCATATACGTTGTTGTCAACGGGGGTGCTGCTCCAATAATGCTCTCGAATGACATTTGTACCCTTCCTGTCTGTCTTCTCTTTCCAACTCAAAAAAATCCTCTCCCTGTGATATCTTTTCCCTCCACTTATCTTCCTTCAGCCCCCTCCCATCTTGAGCTCTGGAAGCAAACGGCAGAGAAGCCTCCACGGCACAGAGAGGATCTGGAGAACAGGGGAGGTACAAGGGTTCTCTGGAGTGGTCTTCATGCCACCAGAAAGCATGACGTTAAGGGCTGGGATGTGTCCATGTTTCGTCCTTCCCCACTTTCCTCAAAATATTCTTCCTGCCTATGAAAGTACCAGAAAGCCGGGCTCGGTGGCTCAGCCTGTCATCCCGCGCCTTTGGGAGGCTGAGGTGAGTGGATTGCCTGAGCCC